CCCCTGTCCCGAGCCCTCCAGAGATCATCCACCAACACGACCAATGCCGTTTCCGTGCTGTGCCCAGACCTGAAACCCGACTGGAACGGATCTAGATAGGATGTTTCCTCCAGGAATTGCGGAAACTGTTGCGTGACCACACTCTCAACAACCTTCGCAATGAAGCGAAGGTTGGAGACAGGACGATAGTTAGCCAATATTGCCGGATCCAGGGATGGCTTCTTGAGGAGAGGCCTCACCACCGCCTCTTTCAGGGCAGCGGGGAAGTGACCCTCACTCAACGAAGCATTAATGACGCCCTGGAGCCAGCCTCGTGTAACCTCCCGGGAAGCCAGTACCAACCAGGAGGGACACGGGTCCAATAAACATGTGGCCGCACTAAGTCTCCCCAAAATCCTGTCCACATCATCGGGAGTCACAGCATCAAACTCCTCCCAGATAACATTCTCAAGACTGTTCCTCGTCACCCTGCCCTGATCTACCCAGTCAGAGTCCAAATCCCCCCGGATCTGAGCGATTTTGTCATACAGGTATAGTCCGAAATCCTCCGCCCTGCCTTTTAAGGGATCATCCTGCACTCCCGGATGGAGCAGGGAGCGGGTCACCCTAAACAGGGCGGCCGGACAATTCCCTGATGACGCAATAGAGGCGGAAAAGTAGTTAGACTTTGCCATCTTTATCGCCACTAGGTAGGCCTTAATATGCGACCTTACCAGTGTTCGGTCAGATTCAGCGAGACTGGCCCTCCAACCGCTCAAGATGTTAGATGGAACTCTGTGGTGGACTGTTTTGAGCAGTATATCAAGAACTGGCCTATTCTGATGACAGTTTGTGAAGAAAATCGAGATCAAATAGATGGCACTGTCACGGCCAAAATCCTCAACATTGGGCTTAAGAGAAATGTTGAACATATGCTGAGCATCCTGAAACCCATCTCTGAAGCTTTAAACAAAATACAGAAAAATAGCTGTTTTATTGCTGATGCTATTGAAATTTGGAAGGAACTGAGTGAACACTTAAAAACAGAACTACACATGGACAGAATTAAATTACAAGCATTAAAAAAACGAATGGGACAAGTACTGTCTCCAGCTCATTTTTTGGCAAATATTGTCAATATCCAGTATCAGGGTCAAAACTTAAGTGCTGAGGAAGAGGAGTTAGCTATGACATGGGTATCCAGCAATCATCCATCTGTAATGCCAACTATAATAAACTTCAAAGCTAAGGGGGAACAATTCAAGAAATATATGTTTGCTGAAGATATTTTAAAGAAAGTCACACCAGTGAACTGGTGGAAGTCACTTAAGCACTTGGATTTAGAGACTGTTCAAGTAATGTTTTAACTTTTAACAGCAGTAGCTTCTTCTGCAGGCGTTGAAAGAATATTCTCTTCCTTTGGACTCATTCATTCTAAATTGAGAAATCGTTTGGGACCCTATAAAGCAGGAAAGCTTGTTTTTCTTTTCCAGATTATGAACAAAGAAGAAGATGAAGATGACGAGTGAGCTACAGAGGACAATATTTAAATTTTTCATGTATAGGCTGGGCTGACAGTCTAAGTTTCTTAAAATATATATATTTTGTTTAGCCAAATTAGTTAACAAACATGGATGTTTGTTTAAGCAAATAACATATGTTGTAATGTTATTGTTTCAGTTGAATAAATCTAAATTGTTATTATTAAAGTAATGATTATTTTTCTCCTTCCTAAGTACAACAGAAAAGTTGTCCAAATATGAATGATTAACCTATTAAACTGAGGATAAAAAAACTAATATGAAAAGTTGTTATTCTAAAAATCTTCATCTACTTGCATATTAAAGTTATACCATGAAGAATTAGTCTTTATGTAGAAAACTATGATTTAAATCAAGCCTTACTGACTAGTGATTTAAATCGTGATTTAAATCAGTTTGATTTAAATCAAATCCACCCTGAATGGAATGAATATAAAATGGCACTGGTATATAAATTGCTTCTTTAAGGCTGGAGTATTCTTTTTCCCTTTGATGATAAAATGCTGATATTTTATTGAAAGAGAATATTTTGTGAACAAATAGCATTACATCCGTTCAGGGCAACTGACATCAAGTATCAATAAAGGAGAATATTTGTATCTCAGGGTTGAAATAGGTATCCTTGGTGCTCTCTGACCTCTAACATCAAATATATCAAAATGTTCCTTCCCAAATCCTATTGCAGGAGATGACCAGGCTGAGCCTGAGGGAGGGGGGTCAAAAGCTTCGTAAGTAACAAGTCCCTGTGCCCCTGCCAGAAATCTAAGTCCACCTACCTTGAATAGTTTTTTTATCTCCTGCTCATTTCCCTTGACTATTAGTTGGTCAGATTTTTGTAGAGAGCTTAAGCTTGCAATAAATCTTTATACTCATTTGAACTGCCTGAATTTCCTGATTTTACTGGCGTTTGACACCTATCTGATTTATTCACCAAATTGCAGGAATTAACAGAATCACTTTACTACCTTCAAGGAAAATTCTGGCAAATTACAACAGATTAATTTTTCTTAGGGTTCCTTCCTGCACACTAGAATAAAATAAGATCAGGGGAATGTTTAAATTTTTCTAATGTTTAATTTCTCATATTTATTATTTTTCTAAATAATTCAAGACCGCAAATATACCTAATACTCTTTGCTCCTATTTTCCCCACAACAACCCTCTATACAAATTACTACATACAGTGCCCTGGAATTATACCTAGTAAAAAGCAACTCAAAAATTACACTAAAGGATTCTCTGGAAGTCTACCTCTTCTAACTGCTAAGGTATCAGTGAATTATAACTGACTATAAAATATCAGCAACTACCCACATTTACAATACACTATGTCTTTGGAGTGGGAGAATGTTTGGCTCTCATTTAAAAGGCAAAAGAAGCACTTAGAAATACTGGTAGCTTCCATGACCTTGGACTTTGGTTAAAAATATTTTTTAAAAAACTAACCATGATTTCATCTAAACATTTTAATAACCTTAACCTCTAGGTAGCATGATAAATACTTCACAATACTGGTATGAATAAACCCTAATAGTTACTCTATAATTGAGTTCTCAGAGATTCTAGGCCAAGGTTAAGTCTCCAGATATATGCAGCCTGCTATACCTCTGTGTTTCCCCCAAAACCTTCCTCTAAGTATATACTTCTCCTCTGCCTATTGCTTTACTTTTCCCTTGGTTTTCAGAGCATTTTCCTTCTAGAATCCTATTTTTCCCTCCCATCTGCGGCTTTATTTTTTTCATTGCCTACCTATTTTCTTTTATTCTAATGTTTTCTTTTATTTGTATCCTTTTCATGTATTTATAATTATGTTTACACTTGTATCTGTCATTAAATACATGCTTAATGAAATAAATAAATTAAATTAAAAAAATAGTACTTTGATGTTTCTTGCGGAATTTTCCACTCTTGTATCTGTGTATTTCTTCCCTCTTCCTGACTTTCCATATTTTTTATTCTGATTTTTCAGTTGATTCCTACTTTTTCATTATATCCAAAATGATACTTTCTCTCCTTCCTATCCATTCTGGGTTTCTTCTCACTATAGATTCAAATTGCTTTACCTCTCCCCCTTTTCTTGTTTTAAACCATTGCACATATTTTCTCCTATTACAAGAGCTACCCTTGTCCCCCTTTTCTCAATCTTTTTTCTGTTGTCTGTTTTCTCAGCATTGAGGAACTCTTGTTTCCTCAATGTATAATCTCAGTCCCATCTCACCATCTACTGGAGGCCAAACAAACTACAGCATTTTATTTTTTTACTTTGCAAAAGGGTGAAGATGGAGAGAGGTCTAACAGTATTTATGTATTGAAAACAAAACAATTATATATACAAATGTCCCTTCTTACTTTGGAACTGCAACTCTCAGTAAGTCATGAAGCATTTAATGTGCTAATTGAACCAAGGCAAATTGCATACTCTTGATTTAGGACAAATTGGGGTTAGTTTGTTCTGTTTATTGCATTAAGGCAACAAGGGTGGCTAGTTTATGGAACAAGTTGTGTATATTTATGAAATTAGAATATCTCAATAATACCCAATTCAAATTAAATACACACTAATATGTGGGACAAAACCAACCTCTGATTGGAAGATTGGAGCTTAAGTCAAATTAGAGGCTTCCCTTCTCTGAACATAACAGATGAGGTTTCTAGCCCTAATAGAAATTTTGGCTCATAATATGATGGCATTAGAGGAGGGTGGAAAATAAAAACATCTGAAGAACCACCTGAAATACCAGACTATGTAGGACCCATACTAATTAAAAGGTTGCAAGCTATCTCAAGCTTACAAAACCAGGATCCTATGTTAACCCATCAAGACATGTATTATGTAAAGGATTCTAAACACATGAATTAATATATTTACATTTTTACACATAAATAGCCGAATACTCCACTTCTGTGGCAAAACTAAACATCTAACAGGGCAGTTCTAGAAGTAGCATTAGCAGCAAAAAAAAAAAAAAAGGTGGGGGGAACACGGTGAAGTATGTGGCTTCTTTAAAGGGGACAGGCTGTGTCCGAGAAAATCACGAAGCAGAAATTGTGCTTTAAAACGCAACACACGTCCCAAACAGTCACAGGTGCAAGAGACAGAAATAGGTGTGTCACAAAGAGAGCACAAATAAGGAATGCGCTGTACTGCTGGTAACCTTAAGTGAAAGTATATCAGAGAAGCATCTGGCTTTTTAAACACTATCAGCATAAAGAAAGGCTTGTTGCATGCCTCAGGGTAAAATCGAAGCTTCCCGTTGCGGTCTGCACCCGAAGTCGCATCTTCTGCAGCTCGACAGAGTTCACGTCAAAACTCAACGGCCCTAAAAGCATTTCTGAAGATCCCCACCCCCCGCAACAGTATGAAAGCGGGCACTCCTTGGTCTGGAAGGCGTCAAACGGAGGAGCCGCGTCTGGGCTGCCGGGAACGGCGTCCGGGGCGGCTGAGAGAGGCGCCCTCTTTCCCACCGACCCCCCGCCTAGCCCGGCAGGCGAGCCGAAACATGCCGGCTGGAGAAGTATAAAGCCCGGGGCGGGCGGGGAAGAAAGAGAAGCGCCAAGAGCACCGAATGGCGCCTCAGCCTTCCTCGGGGAGCCCGGCCAGCGCCGAGGGCCTTGCGGAGCCTCTCGCCCAGCCGGCAAAAGCAGACTCTCGACCACCCGCCAAAGCCCCCATCTCTTGCCCGCAGCTCCTTCGCTCACCTGCCGGGAAGGGAAGGGCGAGCGGGCGCCGGAGAAGAGGCAGTAGAAGGCAGCAACGGCTGGCCCAATCGCCGCCCAGCTCCCGACTTTCCTCCGCCGCTTCGGCTGCTCTCATTCAGTACCGGGAGCCGCTTAGCGGAGGTAGGGGAGGAATCTCTCCCTCCACACACGCGCGCCGCTCAGGACGGCAGGGGAGGGAAGGCAAGAAGGGCGCATGCGCCCACCATTCTCCTCTCCTGGAATTCGGCTTGCTGGAAAAAAAAAAAAAAGCGCGCAGGCGCCGACCGCTCGATCTCCAATGCGAGTGTAGAGAGGCCTAAAATCGAAGGCGAGAACAAGTGAGAGCCTTTGACCGCATTGCGGGGGGAGGGCTCGATTGGCCGTCGCTGAGACCTCCGTCTTTCCTCTGCGCTGCTTCCCCCCGCCCTTAATCCACCCCCCCCCCATGGTCTGAATGGGGTAACGGTAAAGTCAAGCGGTTCTGCTAGAGTCGGTTCCGCTCGAAGGAAAAACGCCCCCCTTCCAATTGGCAGGGGGAGTAGCCGCGTGAAAACGGCCGTTGTCCCCACCCCACCCCCGGAACGCGCTGACTGGCGTTATCTTCAAATGACAGAGAGCGGTTTTTCTTTTTTCTCCCAGTACCATTTTGTCTGTCTTCGAGGAATTCCGTTGGAATCGGCTCCCCTCGCTTCTTGCCATTTGGTCTCCTTGGGTAGCGCCGGGGGCGAGAAGGTGGCAAACCGACGCCACGTGCTGTGTGAAAGCCTCCAAAGGCGCTGCGGCCAATGTAAAGCCTGTCAGCCAGCTCCCTTTCACAGCAGGGGCATTTCCCAGATAATGTGCTGCGGGAAGGCACACCTTTATGCTAAAAAGCGGTCGCTTCGCGGAACTTCGCCGTAGGTAAAACGCACTTTAAACCGAGAAGAAGGTTAAAAATACGCCCCACTGCATCGAGTGTCGGTGTATTTAGCGCTGTATTTTATTCAAGTACACGGACTTTCTGAGCGCTCAAAGCCAGGGGCTGAAGTGCGTGACCTGTTTATCCAGTCCCGCGTTGGGTGGCCTTCCTTCGCCTGGTCCTGGAGAACCTGGGACCCCCCCCCCCCCCCCCCAAATTCACCCTGTGCCTTGGAAGCTAAACTGGGTGACTTTGAGACTATATTTTTTCCCCCAGCTTTAAGTACCTTGCAGGGCAGTTGTTAGGGGATGGGAAAAGCAATAAAATGCATTCCTGAACAAAAGGTGGGATATAAACCTCTAAAACTACATCGCTGTCTAAAATACTTGACTTACTGTGTTAATTTTTTTTTTCTAGAAATGTGGGAGGTGCAAATAGTTGCTATCTTGCAGAAGAAAATAGCTGAGTTGCCAAATATGTTGGAAAAAATATATTAGACTTATCTTTTAAATAATGGCTGTAGTTAAAGGGAAAAGAGCACTGCATATAATAATATCTTATGTAATTATAAAGCCATCAGTCCTTGTCAATTGCACTGATCACCATTCAAATAGAGTAATTCTAGAGGTTTATCTGCTAAGTTCCTGATACAAATACATCTGTCATCTTGTTTAAATCCTTACCATATGTTTTCCTATACACTTTAATCCTTGATAGTAATTAATCAGCTACTGTGGAAGACACCTGTTCTTTTTCATTTCCTTTTAACTATGGTTGGTTGTTAAAAGTCCTGCTTTAGTAAGTTCAAAAATACCCAAAAATTAATAAATAAATAAATCTTGTATAACCTAACTCATGAATGTTTATTCTGCAATAACCATATAAAGATTAATTTTAGATGGCTTAAGTCTTATGCAAATGACAGAATTAGAGCTATATTTATTGGATAGCTGAAGGACATAATTAGAACCAGGGAGTATGTTTATCCTCAGCTTTTGACTATTTTGTGTCTTTCTTCTATATATTGCTCTGTGCTGTTCTTTAATCTGTTTTCTTCCAACTTTCTCTTTTGTTTTTAATCTCTCCTCCCGGCAACTGAATTAATTCAACTTTAACTTAAAATTCAGATACAATGTCTAGCTATGTTTGATACCACTTGACTTCAACTTAGCTTTCAGGTTTTGCAAATTACTGAATGTAAACTCACATAACATGAAATATAGTTGCTCAGTTTGTAATTCTCATGTTATTTATATTGGATTTGATCATAATTAAATTTGTAAAGTACAATGAATAGCAGAAAGCACCAGTAGGAAAATACATTTTAGATTTTATATGTCTTTAAGAGGATGGCTACAAGCTATGTATCATTTTTCACAGAACTGAAAATCTTCCTTGGTATAAATTTATAAATGATTGAATTACTTTAAGCAATAAGCTCTTACACCCAATGTGATTGATAAGGCTAACCTTACTGATTGAGTTAATTTGCATGCATATTAAAATATATAATGTTGAAGAGAATGTTTCATTCAGTGATCCCATAAACAATCAATCCTTACCTTTAACCAACATCCCTATGATTCTGTAGCTAAACTGATACCTAAAAACCTTGAATTCCCAGAGCTAGTGTGAACAGCTCCCAGATGCTTATTGTTAATCCTCTGCAGCTACCGTAGCTTGCACTCTTGCAGTTAATACTTATCTTCTTAGCACCTTATTACTCTTGGCATGACTGAGGATTCCAGACATCTTATATCTTGCAGTTGAGTTTGCAGTGAGGCTTATTTTTTTTAAAAAAAAACAGGAATTAGGATCTAAAATTGAAACCTTAAAATTTTTCCTGCAATTTCCCTCTCTGAGCTTAAAATAATCGTATTATTATTGAAAGTTATTATTGAAACTTCTATAGTGATTTTAAATAGTTTTAATTCTTTTATTGCCTAATATGGTTCCTTCCTCATACTATTGTTAGCTATTAATTGCTTTAGGAATTTGTTGCAATGTAAACAAATTTTTATATTGTGCTAGTTTTTAATTGTATTGGATCTTGGACTGTAAATTTTTCATTTGAAGGTTATATAAAACCAAAAAAAACTTCCTTGGAAAATCAAAGCAACTTTATGAAATATTTCTCCCAGCCAAATCCAATAATGATTAAAATTAAAAGGGGTAAACAAAAATTATGACTCATTTTACCCAAGGACCTAATCTTTTTTGATGTTAACCATGAAAAACTTAAAAACACAGCTTTTGTGGGGTTAGAGGTTAGATGAAAATACATTACATTTTCTAAAACATGGGCATTTTGTTCAGTTTTGCCATCTTTATAAGCATGGAAACAACATTTATGATGCAATTAAGATATATATTTTTCCCTTGGGCTATGGTTAATAAATGTTTTCTGTTTGCTTGTGCAATAGTCTTTTGGTAGGTAAATTGTTTTCATCCTGCAGAGTTTTAAATCTAAGGTGTTGGTTTAAAAAAATCCCAACTTTGCTGATACACCATATAAAATCTTTTCAATTTCTGCAATGCCCAGGGTGGGAATTAAGAGTCTTTAAAAATTATAGAAGCCCAATTTTTTGATTACTAAAACAGAAAATCTTCCAGAAATAGTTTTCCAGGTCCTACAGGTGGAAAGTTCCCAGATTCAACCTGCAATTACATCTTAGTCTATAGAAAGATATAGAGGCTTCCCTTTATATGAAAGACTAACTGCCCAGGATTTATCCAATAGATTCTAGATCCAGATCCAATAGAAGAGAATATATGGAGCTTAGGGTTGATCTGTGGAGTCCTTGATGCTCTCTGAGCTTGGTTGTTAGCTTGCAGATTCTTTGTTACCAGACTAGCTAACATCTTCAGTGCTAAGCAGAAAGATCTTAACAAAGATCTTGGCATTGGGAAGGATATCAGTAATGAAGAAGGGGAAACTTGATATAGCTGAATCATTAAATAGATACCAAAACGGATAACATCAATCTCCTTAAATGTAAATGGACCCAATCTGCCTAATGAAAGATTTTAACAAGCTCCAAATACATAAATCTGATGCTTGCTTATAACAAATGTATGTAAAGCAAGACTATGTTGACTTGTTAAATGGGGGAAAAAAATAAGTTGGGAATATATGGCATCAGGAAAGGCAAAGAAAAATAGAATAATAGTTATTAAATCACCTTCCTGGAAAGTATTGGAACAATTAAACAATAAAGAAGAATTTTATTACTGAAACGTAAGAAATAAAGGTAAAGTTTTAACATTGGCATCCTGTTACTCTCCAAATAAAGATGATGATAAAGCCATTTTGAGAATTCAAATAAATTAGGAAAACTTTTGGTGCATTAAATCAGAAAAGAGAACAAGAGAAGGATGATAAGATTGATAAATGAAATAAATTGTTATATAGAAGATGGAAATAATAGAAAAATAGATTTTTCCCAAGAATTCTAAGCATAAAATGAACCACAAAAAATGGAAAGCATGCATTAAAGAATCAGAAGTTAAAGAATTCACTGGAAAACACAAATATTAAGCAACCAACCATATTACAATTCAAGTGAAAAAAAGACTTAAAACAGAAAGGTGCCAGATGTAGATGGATTTACAGCCAAATGCTAGAAAAATTTAGAAAACATATATAACTATGCTTTAAAAAAGGGAATGAACTGAAGAAATCTCAATCATATAGCTGTTTCTTTGTTGAAATTTGATTCTAAGATATTTGCTGTAGCTGTACATGTAATAAAATACATTCCCAAATTATTTCTAGAGAGTAGATAGGTTACATTCCAAAAAGAAAGATGATGTTTAATGGCATCTAATGCATTTAACATTAGCAATAGCATTTAGATTTATATACCACTTTGCAGTGCTTCACAGCCCTCTAAGCAGTTTACAGAGTCAGCATATTGCCCCCAACAATCTGGGTCCTCATTTTACTGACTTCAGGAGGATGGAAGGGTGAGTCAACCCTGAGCCTGGTGCAGGGGTGGGTTCTACTTACCTTTACTACCGGTTCACGACGGGATCGCACATACGCCAAACTTCTGTGCATGCACAGATCACCTATTATGACATCCAGGTGGGTGGGTGGAGCTTCCCCCCGGTTTTACTACCGGTTCACAAGAACCGGACTGAAACAGGGGCAACCCACCACTGGCCTGGTGAAATTTGAACTGCCAAATTGCAGTTAGCTGGCAGTCAGGAGAAATAGCCTGCAGTACTGCATTCTAACCACTCTTTTCTTTTCTTTTCTTCTTTCTTTATTCAAATTTCTATACTGCCCTTCTCCTTTCGGACTCAGGGCGGTGAACAGCCAGAAATAAAACATTTTATATACAAAAGTTAGAATAAATTTAAAATAATTAAATAAATTTGGCCCATTAATTTAAAACATTCCAATTAAAAGCCATATCAAAATTTATTAAAACCAGTCATAAAATCAGGACAGCCCGGCTAACTGAAAAAAATAGGTTTTGAGGGCCCGACGAAAAGTCCGGAGGTCTGGGATCACTCGTATCTCTGGGGGTAAATTGTTCCAGAGGGTGGGTGCTACCACAGAGAAGGCTCTCCCCCTGGGGGTCGCCAGCTGACATTGCCTGGTCGACAGCACCCTGAGGAGGCCCTCTGTGGGAGCGAACTGGCCAGTGGGAGGCAATTGGTGGCAGGAGGCGGTCCCGTAGCACTCTGCCACTGCGGTTCTATTAGAATACATTAATAAGAAAATAAATCAGAAAATATATTTTTAGGCATGGAAAAAGCTTTTGATAAGTTGGAATAGAGCTTTCTAAACATAATGACATGGATAAAACAGAAGTACATATTTTAAAAAATGAAGCAGTGGAACAACAATGTGCTCAACTCTCAATAGATTTTGAGAAAGCCATTGCTTTTCCCTTTTGACTTATTTTTTTAAAAAATGATCAAGCTTAGATCTCGTACTGGTAATTGAATGTGCAGAGCATGTTACATTGGATAAGATCCAAGCGTCCTTCAGAATTAGCAATAAACTTTAGCATGAAAAGTGTAATAAACGACAGCTTTAAGCCAAAAACCACTTCATTTGCAATATTTTTCTGAAGAGTTCTCCAGTGAAAGATTAACCAACCAACCAACAAAAAACCCTCTATTGATTTAAAAGCCAGGAGATGTGTTAAAAATATTTAAAAACAAATCAAGATTCCAATAGCAACCTTTGCATATACTGGAGTAAACAAGCAAACAAATTGAATCAAAAGTTATATGCCAAGTCATACAGCAGTAAGATAGAACAATACACAGTAATAAAATATATTACTTTTGTGTGGAATTAACAGACAGGTGCTCAATAAAGCCCAGTGTTTAAATACTGATATTGAGAGAATTGCTTTAGAAAACTGGGAGCATAAATATTCTGCAGTCTTTGCCAAATAATAAACTACTAAAACCCTGATAGGCACCTGTGGAAAATTAGGGCTCAATCTATCAACATTGCCAAACTTCATAAACAGTGAAAGGACATGACTATATTCTGTCACGTTGCTACTTGTCTGAGGCTTACTGTCATAATATTCTTAAAAGACATCCCCATCAGAAAGAAGAACAGTCATTGTCTCTCTTAAGCCAATAATGCGGAATTCATTTTTCTTAAAGATCTTAACGTTATTTCTATCTAGTGATTAAACTCTGTAATGACATCCAAACAAATCATGATACAGCATGTTATTAAAATAGGACATTTTCAAAAGCTGCCTACAATTCAGAACCGAATATAAGAACGTATAAATTCAATTTGCATATGACACATTAGCTGCAAAGCCAGCAATGCAGATTTAAAACTAGTCTACTAATCTGCAAAGTGAGAACTC